GTCAAAATCGCTGCCCGACTGCTCCAACATTGACAGTAGCTTGCCCTGTGGGCCGCTGTATTTCCTGTGTGTGTGTGGAAAAGTGTCCCCCGTGAAGCAGTTTGTTGTGTTGTGTTCAGATTATTTAAACCAGTATGCCAGTATACAGAAATTTCATTTCATAACAAAAATAGAAAACAGTTTTCAGTGCAAACCAGGTTACCACCCAGCTTAACCATGCATAGAGATCATGAGGAGCAAGAAGAATACATTGTATGGGGTTTATCACAATTAATAGTGTCATCGCAAAATTAAACTATAATATCTCACATTACTAGCTTTTAAAATATTGTGACACCCTAATAGCTGCTGTCCTAAACCAACTACAATATAATATATACTGTATATATATATATATATATATATATATATATATATATATATAWKGTATATATATGGTGCACTTTCAAGTTTGGAGAGTAACCATGATAAATATGTCTTGAGATCATCCAAATACCTTTTAAAAAGTGTTCAAAACTTCTAAATGAACTGCAAGAACCTACCCACCAGTTCATGCAATGCAAATGGTGTTTACCTGCTGCTGCTTTTGGCTAGCAGTGATTCTCTCTGAGCCAAAGTAAACGAAGCCAGGGAGCTTCTCTTTGTATGTGGAAAAGAAACTGGTGCTGACAGCGTATTGGACCTTGGAAGCCCTGGGGGCTCCAGAAGAAAAAAAAAGACACACACATTAGGAGAACTGTAACCATCATAGCTCAACATGCAGTGTGGCAGACATGGAGCTGCATGACCCAGATGATGGGGATGAAAAAGCTTCATATTTTCTTTTTTAGCAGCCTGGCAAATGAGGCTTTTACTGCACTCAACTGGTCAAAAACCCAGACCCAAGTACGTTTGGGCAGATTGGCAGAATACTGGGGTTACAAACTTTGTCCAGTCACGTAGAACAGGCAAGTCATCAAAATGCTGCCTGGTAGAAACTGGCATGACCCAATCATATGTGAGATCTGCAGCTGATCTGCCATTAGGCCTGGTGAAGAAGATGTAATATTTGCTGCCATTAGTTTAGGCTTCTCAATTCCATCAGAATTAATTGCTACAGAGTTAATTAAAAAAAAAAAACTCTGGACACGCTGTTATTASAGAAATGAAAGGGAAAATGTAATATCTGAATACCCCAGCAAGTATTTTAGGCTAAGTCTGGAACATGGCAGCCATCTTGAATGCCACCATATTGGATCAAAGTCAAATTTTCCAATGGGAAGTGGTAGTGTATCACAGACCAGGATTGTCTCAGAGATGGATTACTGCAATCAAGATGTGCAATATCTCTTGTGGTTCAGAAGTTATTACCACAGAAAACTCAAACGTTTTGTTGTTAGTCRCATGTAACTGAAGATGAAATTGACAAAAGCTTTGTGTTCAGCACCAGAGACAGCACACTGAAAACATCAAGTAGCTGTGCATCACAGGGAACATTTCCAGCTAAATGACCACATTCCCATTGTAAAAACATGTCTGGATCCAGTATGAYGGCTTTCAAGATGGCAGCCATGTTCTGGACATAGCCATTACTTGCTGGTGTGTTCCRATATTTCCTTTTCCTTTTGATTTCTGAAATAAAAAGGATGCCTTGAGACTATCGTCTCACCCTGTATTTCAGCCATTCAAAGAACTATCTGCATCCAAATGTCTTCTGAGTTTACAGTTCAGAAAATGCTTAGTCCTGTCACTGCTTTGTATGTATCTTGGTGTCACAGCTGCCATGTCTGAGTCTGAATTAAAATTATACAAAACACAAGACTTCAAATACTTTAGAAACAGTAAAGAARCTGCGTCTAAAATTATCTGTGAAAGTGTTTTATGTTGTCATGCTTCAGCTGTATGTTACGGGTACTTTCACAGCTCCGTTGTCAGCCTCCTCTCTGCTCCGAGGCTTTCATCTTCTAGTTAACTATTCCTCTTTTTTATTTCTCCGCATTTTAAAGACGTAAACATGTGTGGCATGTATGCAAACAGGAAGTAGTTATGGCTCTAAAAATAACATTCATTTCAATATATTTTCAGTGTAATTTGTGTCATGAACACACACTTCTATGAACAAGTAAATATTGAAGTCTCTGAAACAGGAAACTGAAATACACTCTTTTTTGGTACTAGTAGTAGGGGTCAGTTACTGCTATTCAGTTGAGGTTTTCCAAATGTCTTACAATGTTCAGATATTTTGAATAAACGGTTTTCAGCTATTTTATTGTGGCCCGCTGTATGATTTGCTAACTGGAGTTTGGTCATTGCATCTTTAGCCCATTGCTTTGAGAAATAGTACAAAGTACTTGTCAAATAATTTTTGCATGCCTGACTTGCTTKAGTCATGAAAAACAGTTTTCATCAGCCGTTGGAAAGGTTTCTGACAAAGCAGAGCCATGTGGAGTCTAYGTGACCTGGAATTAGCCAGTCTTGTGTGTGAGTGTTCCTCTATTAGGACAGCCAATATAGCTTTGTGCAGTTCCTCAGCTTCTATTATCTGCTTAAAGTCCAACCCCCTCAGTCATTGTGACAGGCTGGTATCAGATGTCTTCTCCTCTTCAGTGTTACATGCTACAGGTAGTTTCCTTTTTGATTAATACAGTACTTAGCACAAAAAAGTGTAACAATGGTCCTTTGCAATAAACATTATACGAGCACCTGATTGGCAGCACCTGGTGGTACCAGCTCAAAACAAGTGTTGACAACAAAAGAAGCTGTTTAGATCTGGCTGAGAGGATTTGGCAAATTTTTCATGTRWGCAACTCMCACACTTAGCKCCACTGATCATCCTGCAAATACATGKKCCTTACAAATRTGACAMCATTTAAAAGGCAAATTARCAGACTTCCCAAYRGTGATGCCTCTCAGCAAGAAGGTTGCTGGATTGAATCCTGACTCAGGGACCTGAGTTTGCATATTCTCTCCGTGCATGCATGGATTTTMCTCCAGCTTCCTCCCACAGACCAAAAACATGAATGGTCGGTTAATTGGTAACTCTGTTTTTTATCAGAAGGACAATCAAAAATTAATATTTTATTCAAAGAAAGAGCCACGGGGATWAAAAATGAAATCACTGATTCTTACAAATGCAGTTTAATGACATTTTCCTCACTACTGACTTATCCAGTTGATGGTGACGATCCACTAAGTCAATAGAAGGTGGAGGAATCTGGTGGCCTTTCAGATGTCATGGTTTCAACTTGTCTACAATGTTAATTGTCTGAAAAGTATTCTTCCAATTGTTTTGTCACAAGTGGAGTGAAGCAAAGTTTCAAATCATCCCTTCTTTTCTTTTACGGAGMCATTTTCACCCCTGCCAAAAGAGGTTTGCATGAGGTTTACATTTTGGACACATCTAATTTGATCATCCTCTAATTTTGACCCTGTAGTTTTGTGCTCCCTCAGAGGTCAGYGCTAACAGTTTGCAAATGTTATAAATTTGCATGTCAACATGGCAGCGATGAAACCCTGTACTTGTCTTGCAGAACTTTGGTGTTAATCACTTTGTACATCTCAGGAAAAGTCTCTAGCCAAAGCGCTTTRGTTCAAAGTAATTAATCTTCGCAATTTCACTGTCAAAAGATGCAGCCGTGGTACTGGAGTCCTAATGGATCTGTAACAGCTCAGAGAAAGGGAATGAGTCCTTAGGAAAGGAAAAGATTTATATTTTGAAATAAAAACTTATTGCATTCTAACTGTGACATCAAATTCTTCAAAGAATRAAGCTAAAGGTGAACTAACACCATAGTAGGAAAAAACAGAAATCAGAAAACTGTAGTCATTTAGAAATCTCTAAACTGTCAATTTATACATGTTAGCAGCCAGAGAAAATTGATCTTCAGAACTGAGGTTGGGTTTTAAAATTTTTTATCGTTGCGCTTTTTTAAACACTTTTTATATTCCTCTTCCTGCTGAATTATAGAGAGAAAATGTAGAAAAGGGACAGATAGAGATTCGAGGGTCACAGAGTGAGAGAAGAACAGAGACAGGCCARAATAACATGGTGGCTAAAAAAGCAAATGGGTGTCCTTTTATCCTTCTACCTCTGCTTTCAACCTACTTCTTTTTTTCTTTCCCTTTTTTTATTTCAAGGTCTGTTACAAACAACACAGGTTTTGTTCACGTTCATTTTGCAACAAAAGACATTTGTTGTATAACACGAGGGATGTAAACTAGGTTACAAAATGCCTTCAAGGCCACAACAAATAGTCTTCACACAAAGACGGGCTGCTTCAAAAGATGTAGCATATGACAATTGTTCCATAAAAGATGCCTGACAAATCTGACACCAGATTTAAGGTGACTTTGTAGGTGACAATGCTTAGACGGTTAGATTAAAACCACGATGTCATCCTGTTTCTAAGACTAACTCCTCTACCTTTTGTTTTCAGCCGTCCRGTAATCAGAACAAAAGATGGCCTTTCATGTTTCTGGACACTTACAGATGTGTGTTCTGTCAACCTTTCCTTGTCACAGTCTTGTTGGGAACATGKAGGATGTTAGGCTGTTATAAGCTGGGTATTTTCCTAACATGTKTGGATTTGGTCATTTCTCCAAGAAATGTTAAAATAATTTCAGAAATTCAAATTAAAGATCACATTCTTTGGTTTTGTGTACCTCYCAGTGGTGGTCACAGTTGTGCTAATGTGCTAATACTGGAATTAGCTTCTCATTTATCAAATTATTTATCAAATTAGCTTTCTGCTAACWTTGGATACCATCAGCAGGTCGATTAACTTCTACTAATTTTAAGCTAACTAAAAATTTATAAGTGTAAAACTTCTATTTTTATGTCATTTAACACAAATGAAATAAGAACTCTTACAAACAGCGCTAAACGTGTTTAGCGGTTTAGCATCAGCAGAGCTAAGATTCTTGTTTAGCGGATTTTTGGTTTGTGAACCTATTGGTTGGCTGTGCCCACCCCTTCTAAACTATTTTGTCTTCTTTTTCTTTCTTTCTTTCTTTTCTGCTAGGACTGCTGTCTCAAAGTGCTTTACAGCTCAACAGCCAGGATGCTTATTCTGTGGCAGGTTACCACAGCAGTCAAGGGTTGGCACTCGGGGAAACGGTTTCCGGCCGTGGCGGGCAGATTGGGGGAGCTGTTCACAGCTACAACCAGGTGGGTGTTTCATTTCGTTTCATCTGCTACTTCCCTCCACTTCTATGTCTTTTTATCCTCCTTTCTAGTCCTCTTTGCTCACTCTTTGCTCTCTTAATATTCACTCATCAACCCTGATCTCATTTACATTTTCTTCCTGCACCTGACCCCATTCTTTCCTCTCACATGTCTCATGTTTTTTTCTTTTTCTCTCGTCTCCACCCTCACTAGGTGACATCCAGCCGTGCAGTTKCCCAGTTAGTGAGCACAGACTCTCCCTCGCAGTCCCAGAGAGACTCATTTGCCCAGCAGGCCCTTGGCAGCGCCTTACACATGTCCACTGAGGGCGGATCTGTGCCTTCTGGACCGTCCATGTATTACTCATGTGCCACTCTGCCTGCACAGGTACAAAACCCTGAACTTATTCATATTTACTTTCTGACAGCCTGTGCTCGAGGTTGAACTTATTTTCTTTCATAGCTTKGCTTTGATGCACATCTACAACTATATTCTATTATTTAAAAAACAAGGTTTAGTGGTATCTGCTGAATGCTGCCCTTCAAGTGACACAGCTTTCCATACAAGCTGAGACCAYTGGTGGCCTTGTCTGATGAGCTTTGTTTAAAAGGCAGTCTTGGGTCAGGCATATCCCACTGCTGCCACCATTTKTCATGACATGAACAGTAAGAGATAGGAAACACGAAGCTTTTTGACATTTTCAATTTATTACAAACTGTTGAGCAGAAAATGCCAAGCTTGAGACAATTCCAAGCATTAGAATATGTCTCCCTTGTCTTTTCTATAATATCAATTAATGTCTAGAGCCAGCATAATTTATGATGGTCACCAAAGCTAATCAACTGCACCAAACAATATTTGTAAAAATAAGTAGTTTGGTTAACTTTATAGATTTTCAGCTGATTCTTGGTGTGGTAGCATCTTAGCGTCATCCTCAACACGTACTCCAACCAGATTTCTCAAGATCAACGGATCACAAAGCATCTGCTTAAAACATTTGCTTGTACAGTGACAGGCGATATGCATTTTGAAGGAATTCTACTTTTTTATTGAGATGCGTCGTTTGTAATTGTTTTGAACCCAAAATACTGCAAAAAGGACTGGTGGCTAGTTTTGCAAAAAAATGTGACCATGTTAGCAAATAGGTGACCTGTGCTAGCAAAATGAGTCATCATGAGGAAGTTTTCAACATTGAGTCATTATTAATTTAGATTTCTCCGTCTTAATAACTTAAAATGATATGTAGTTTGTTGAAATTTGATCATTTGTCATCTAAAAACAAGCTAATTTTGTTTATGAGAAAGAACACTTGATTTTTAATGGTCTGCAGTGATGTCAGTGGAAATTTCTAGATGTATATTAAAAAAAGGAAGATCACCGACCTTTGCAATGATGCTAAATGTAATGCTCAGTGAATTTGTTGTAAGAAAAAGGGTTATTTCTGAAGATGTTAGAAAACGTTGATTTAAAGGTAGATTAGGAAGATTGTATGCCACTTTAGTGGAGATTAATGGATGACTGATGGTTGAGCTGGACTGATGGATGATGGATGGTGTCTTTACGGACTTGCTTTTATGCCAATCTTAATTACAACAAAAATCAACATTTTCACTTTTTTTTGCTCTGCAGCCTCATTTTGCCAGAGTGAGTCACATATAATGAATACTGGGTGAAAATGAAATCGGTGCAATACTCTTTTTTTGCTATAAGAAAACAAACATTGCTCTTTAACGAACTGCTGCAAGCTTATTAACAAAACACCATAGCTACTGCCATTCTTATGTCRTAAAAATACATCAGTTACAATATTTTGAACTTTATTACATACTTTTTTTAGGAGTTTTGGTAGGGTGCTCATGTAGGAGGATAAAAAAAAGGTTACAGCTGCTGATAAAAAAATCTTATTTGTCATCAGTCCTTTTATTGCCAGATTTCATACCTTGAAACATTAAGCTGAAAATCAAAGAAAAAGCTTAAAAGCTCATAATGAGTCCTGGTTCTGTTTATTTTAAGCTGCAGAACAGTTGTTTTTTGCTGAGTCACAAACAAAAGTTTGTTAGATTTAGTATATACCTGATGGTAATTATCATCCATTGGGCCCACTTTAATTTGTACAAACAATGCAGTTTCTGTAGTCTCTGGTTAAGTAAAGGTGTGGAAGAAAATTATGTATTTAACAATTAAGACATGCTTGCCATTTATTTTTAATTATTCATTCTCTGATGTATTTTGTTTTGCTGGCTCAAAATTAAGCTCATTTGAGCACTTAGTATCTTGGATTTTTATCATTTAAACATTTTTTGTGTGAACGTTTCTGCTCCCTGGTTTTCCAGCTGCAGTGGGAGTTAGTTATCTCCCTGATAACACTGATGTGATTTAAAAAGAGAATAACATTTTTCAAAGCGACTTGACATTTCCCTTTAATGAAGCCAAATCTTCGGCTGCATTACAGCGTGTGAGCTCCCCTCTGCAGGCGGTGGGATCCCCGACCAAGCTGCAGCGCCTCGGGTCAGCCTCTGCCGACATGCCCAGCTACGCCACGCTGCAGAGAGTCTCTTCGCCCAAACAGTCTCCCAGCCGACTTGCAAAGTCCTACAGGTTGGTCCGGTCTCATCTGTGGGTTTACACAACCCCTGTTGATGGTGACACGTTACATAAGGTTTCTACTAACCTCAAAGTACAAAAGAGTACATTCAGGCGGAGGTCGATGTGGTTGTTGATCAATAGTGACTCAACAATTACATCACACGTCTGCTTTCCAAAGATAAATTCTGTTTGAGAGTGAWGTCTTTCTCTTCACATTAGGCTCCAGCGCTCTGACTCTAGTTTGCCTCATTTTGCAATAATTTATGAAACAGCTTTAAGGCTGAGTCATAATTTAAGAACACACTAGTCTCACGATTACTCTTTTACTTGACTCAGCTTTTTCTGGTGATGATAAGAGACAACTATCAATAGCTTTAAATATTGCATTTAAAAAAAGGCTGAAGATTTAAGCTCATCCCCAGAAAAGTATTTTTTTATACTCTCTAGGATTGTTTTTTTTTTGTATTATTTTAAAAAAGACAACCCCCCTAATGAGGTAGAAGACTGTTGGTGGTTAATATTGGCAACCTCCTACTGTTTAACCAAATGTGGTTCAAACCCACTGAATTGTATTTTGGTTTCAAGCAGAGATTTTAAAAAAACAAAGATACCAGGGTGTGGGCGCATAAACCCCATGACTGAATAAATAAATAGCAATAATAATTTATCTTGAAGGAGTGTTTTTTGTTTGTTTTATTAGAAGAAATCTCATACATGATAAATACTTTTGTATTTGATGAATATTTAGACTAAATGAATATGCCTTACACTTACGTACAAAAAAAAAGGAAACAAAAAAGAGTGTAAAGATTTTATACATAATATTTGGACAATCATTTGAAATACACCTTGACACCAAAAACTTGCACAGGATTCATGAGAGTCTGATGTTAAAAGGAAAGCTTTGAAAAAAACTTTATTTTTTCCATCCGGAGTATCAGTTGCCACATTAAAATTTGTCTGGTCCAGTTCTGGTCCACACAACACAGTAACTTTTTAACACTTGGCCCAGATAACGCAAAGAATGATGACCATTTGGTGACCCGGATGTGGTCTGCCAGAGGTGGTCCGTGCATGGGCTAGCACTGCGTAAACCAAGCAAAACCTGGGTCAGTTCTGGCATTGACAAATTTGGGCCACATAAACCAAACCCCAGYTGGGCCAGATGTTGTAATAATAGATTTGGATTAAATAAACCAAACCACCACTGTGCTATCTTAAAAAAGCAGTGCCATAATTGCTAGATCTGGCCCACACGTGTCTGCTACATGGGATCAGTTTTTATTACACAATAAATTCTGTTGTTCCTGTAGTTAGTGTTTGGTCTTACTCTTACTTCTTTTTTTAAATTAAAACATTTTTAATTGTATCTTTTGGTGTGTTAGTCCTTGGAGCCAGTGTTCATTAGTTGTAATTTCTCTCTATTTTGTTGGTAACTGGCCTTCCTTGACAAAGCCTGTTTAAGTAAAAAGTGAGTTCCAACAGTTGTATTCACTGCTCTCCTGCAGCACGTCATCGCCCATTAATATGGTGGCATCAGGTGCTGCCAGTTCGTCCTCTCCGCTCTCTACGGCTGCCTCCCCCGGGGGAAACCACAACTCGTCACCCCTCCACCAACTCAGCTCGGCAGTGGGAAGCTACGCCACCCTGTCGCCCACCAAGCGCATGCTGCATCACATCGGTGCAGACGGCTACAAGATCTCCCAYGAGCTCTACGCTAACGCAACCCTGAAAAGGCCTGGGAGCCTGGCAGGTAGAGGTCAAGACACTTCCTTTACTACTCTTTATGTGTGGGTGTCTATGTTGTGAAGTTGTTATTTTGATTCAACTTTTAGTTAAAAATACAACTCATCTTCACATTAATGTTTTATGGTTTCTATTTTTTCCATTAGGGCAGGAGTGTCAAACTTAGTTATAATGGCAGCCAAAATAAGAAAAACTTGGTCGTAGCCGAGGGCTAATCTAAATCAGCATAAGAAAAAGAAAACAAAACATAAATTAACCATGGTTTTAGATGTATCATGTCAAATTATTCAAATAATTAGACCAATTACTTTATCCTAGTGGAATATATAGGACAAACATACTTTAATGAGCAGAGAAAAATAGACACATTATTAATATTCATTTCCTTTTTTCATCCCTATCATAAGCTTTTAGATTAATTTTTTTCTTGGTGAAATATTTTATCACCACCAAAAAAAGGAACAGCTCCAAAAC